CTCTACAGATATTAGAGAACAAAAAAAGTGGTGGAATAATTTAGTTTTTAGGACATTTAACATATTAATATCTATAGCACCTTTCTTAGAAAGGATTATACTAAGTAGTATTTCCCACATTTTAGCAGCATTTTTTCATTTATTTTCAAACAGCATCCTGTAGGAAGGCACTACTAGATGTATACTTTGGAATACACTGCCACAAAGGTGGCTATAACAAAAGGGGGGGTAATGTAGAAGAAAGGGACAAATGAGGCTTCCCATCTCTGAGCTGCTTTGGTCTATAACTTCCCTGAAACGACTTTCCAGAAAAAGACCTTGATGTCTGCTTTCCTTTGGAGATTTTTCTGTTTCACATAAAGGCAGGGTACCACGTGTGTTACTGTGATCCACAGGAGCAGTGCAATCAAGTGCCTTTTTTGCAAACTACGGTCAATAAGCCAGATCAACCTGCTACCCATCAGGGTCCATTCCTGTGTGTTCCTATGGACTGACCTCTTAAGGGTTAACAGTCTACAGAACATGACTCAAAATCTCACCTGAAGGACCACCTTTCTAACCTACACTTCCTTGACAGGATGTAAAGGACATCCTTTACCATTCCAAAAATGCAATATTTCCAACTACCACCCAACTCACACTAATCCCCTCCAAGGTTGGTTTCCTTTCCAATACTTATCTCTCATCTCTATTCTCTACCTCATTTAATAGTATCACCATCTACCTAGGCACTTCAGCTGGAAAGCATGGGGAAAATGTCTGTTTCTCTCTCTCTGTCAGCCACAAGTGCCATTAACTTCTAGGCCCCAGCATGTCCATCCTCCAATCTCCCTCAAATCTAACTTGCTCTTCTCCATTTCCAAACATACTAACTTTCAACATTTCCTGGCTTTATAACAATCTCCCATCTGGCCTCCTTGCTTTCTCTACATCATCTTCATTCTAGCTTCACTTCTGAATCACACATCTGGGCACGCTGCTACAGTGCTACAGTTCTCACTTTTTCTTTTTTTTTTTGAGACGGAGTCTTGCTCTATTGCCAGGCTGGAGTGCAGTGGCACAATCTTAGCTCACTGCAACCTCCGTCTCCCGGGTTCAAGCAATTCTCCTGCCTCAGCCTCCCGAGTAGCTGGGATTACAGGCATCTGCCACCACGCCCAGTTAATTTTCATATTTTTAGTAGAGACAGGGTTTCACCAGGATTGTCTCGATCTCCTGACCTCATGATCCACCTGCCTCAGCCTCCCAAAGTGCTGGGGTTACAGGCATGAGCCATCGTGCCCCACCAGTTCTCACTTTCATGTACATATTCCCACTAAACTTTAAAGCAAGCCTCTTAGAACTAGTTGATGCCTTGCACAGGTGCTTCAGCAAACATGGATAAGAAGATTCATATGAGGACTGTTGCTCACAACAAAAATTTACAAACTACCCAAATTATGTGACATAATCAAGTGGAATAATAGGCAGCAAGGAAAAACAAACTAAACTGTACACACAGTTGGATATAAATAACATACTATTGAGTGAAATAAGCTAACTCCAAGTCGCTCCATACAGAATAATAAGATTCATTATGAAGTTCATAAATGAATAAAAGTAAATAGAATATTGTTTAGGTGCTATATTTAGGCTACACATACATGTGAACATATATACACAAACAACACATATACATACATACATAAACATATATAAATACATGCACACTGACAAAATTATGAAAACTACAAAAAAGGCAACAGAACAATCAGCACAAAGAGGTAAGAGAGACAGGCATACAGGCTGCAGAGAAAAAGTACAGAGATAAATACGGACAATGTTGTTATTCTCTGGTTGTTAATCATGATCATATATGATCATGCCATTGTTTAGCTATTTAATTATTAAAAGAAAGCCGTGCATAAGCTAAGAATTATATGTGCAATTCAGTATAGCTAACATATAGTGAAAGGAAGGGAGGCAGGAAGAGAGTGAGAAAAGACTGTGCAATGCAGGAAGAAGTTTCCATATTTAAGAGGACTTGAGGCCGGGGACGGAGGCTCATGTCTGTAATCCCAGCACTTTGGGAGGCCAAGGCAGGTGGATCACCTGTGGTCAGGAGTTCAAGACCAGTCTGGCCAACATGGTGAAACCGCATCTCTACTAAAAATACAAAATTAGCCAGGCATGGTGGCAGGTGCCTGTAATCCCAGGTACTTGGGAGGCTGAGGCAGGAGAATTGCTTGAACCCTGGAGGCAGAGGTTGCAGTGAGCCAAGATCACGCCATTGCACTCCAGCCTGAGCAACAAGAGCGAAACTCCATCTCAAAAAAACAAAAAATAAAATAAAACAAAAAAAGAAAAAACAAACGAACATACAAACAAAAAAAGAGGACTTGGAAGAAGACCCAGAGCAAAACCATGTTAGTGAAAACCAGCTACGTGGGTCTGACAGTCAACGCTTTTGGTAAACTGTAATCTGTGGCCTATCTACAGGGAAGAGATTCTCCAAAAGAGCATTCAAGCAGCACAGACCACCCCGGCAGTGCTATCTGCTCCCTCCTCCTGAGCTTGCCAAGATTTGGTGGTTTTAATTAGGCCTCCCCATTTCTGGATCCCAAAGCACTCCAAGCAAAGTAATATTGGTACTGTTTATCCCTACGTGCAATGTGCCATCTGAAATCTTCAGAGTTTCCCACGTCAGTCTGTTTTGTTTTTTAAAAAGGATGATTATAAAATAAAGTGAACATCTGGATCTCTGGCCAAGTAAACCTCAACCTCCCTTATAAACCTCAAGATGCTCAACTTCATTTACTAAGAAGCAATAACTCTCTTCAAATCCTTAAGCAAACAATACAATATTAATTGCAATCTGGATCTCCCAACATGTCTTCCTTTGATCAACTGTCAAGGACATTAGGGAGATGCTCAAGACTCCTCAAAAGTTGGGGGCATGTGTGTAAGGGGAGAGATTTGTGACCAATTAAAATGCAGAAAAGTTAAATAACATTTCCAACTTCCTGGTTTGAGGCACAAACACATTTGATGTGGAAGGAAACAGATTAGGAAGGAACAAAGCTATAATTTATAGCTTCAGTACGGTCATGGGACGGGAGATAATGTGTGGCACTTACAAATTCCATGTCCAGGCCAGGAAAGGCAAAACAGAAACAAGGACCAAGAGGGTGGTAGTTAACCTAGAAAGACTGAGGACTAAGTAAGTCCCTACTGCTGAGCAAGTCCATGCAAAGCAAAACCAGCAAGTGACAAGCAGCTGTCAATAACTTTGGCTTCCTGCCTACCCTGAGATACTCTTTCCAATAATTCAAATCTAAAAGGTTTTGAGCAGCATGGGAATTAAAAAAGAAAAGAAAAACCCACCTCTGTGAAAGAGTGGCTTATACACAGGTGACTATTTTGGATGGCACATCTTAGCATTACTAACTTAATGCATCAGAAAGGTCACAAACCCATCCTCTGTAAATCGGGACAGAACCGTGCCCTCTACTTGCTTTCTGCCCGAGCTTCATCCTTGACTTCTGAAGTTAATTTTAATGGTCTAAGCCCTTCCTCTCCATTTCCAATAGTTTTGTTTAACTTTCTTTTATCGCCCATTCACATCCTGACAGATTATGGTATAAAATAACAAAAAGTCCATAGACTTTGAAATCAGATAGACCTGGGTTTAAATCAGATAGACCTGATGCTTCATCTCTGAATCTTAACTGTAAGCTTCTGCAAAATGGACTAGTAATAACTACTCCTGAAGTTCTTCTGAGTGTTAAATGAGACAATGTATGGAAACATATCATGTCTGTTGTAGTAGATATGCTACAGTGACACTGCACACCTACTCCAGGACAAATCATTCACGCCTTGGATAGTATTTGGAACAGTTAGGCCTCGGATAGTATCTGGAGCAGTTAGCTGCTCAACTGCAATCATCTTCTCAACACATTTACCAAAATACAGAAACGTGCTATGCATCAGTTGCTTGCAAAAATTCTATCTCCAGCCCTGATCTCTCTTCCTTGAGTTAGAGCCCTGGATTTGTAGCTACTTAGTGAATATGACTGTCTACTAGGGACGTTAGAATTGACTAGAATTCATTTTATGCCATTGCTATTAGAAATAGGAAAGCAGATCTCAACACATGAATTCATTTGGCCTCTGTTATACATACACAGACAGGAAGTAGGACTTAGGTCACCCACCCCTCTATTTCCTGTATTTTCCTAAGTGCTTCTTGATGTCTCCACCAGCCGAACCGTATAGAAAAGCAAACTTATCACCACATTTCCTCCAAAATTAGTTCCCCCTCTGGACTTATTTCTGTTAATTGAACCTTAATTTTCCTGGTCTGATTCGGGACTTGCAGTGTCCTTGGCGATATTTTCTGCCTTCTTCTACATCCATCCACCAGTCCCTGCATCCATTTGTTACTAAACTACCATAATTTTGTCTTTTACAAAGTCTCCTGTCTATCCTTTCCTTTTAGTTTCACCTTGACAGCACATTCTAGAACCTCATTACCTCACACCAGGACAAAGGGGTCCTACCTAGACGCCCTTCCACTTGCCCATCTAATCCCAAACACTCTACACACACTATCACTTTCACCATCCCATATCCACGCTTCACGGAGACACCTGCAAAAACACTTCTAATGCAAGACTCAGCCACAACTGAGCCTCAGAGTGTGACATCTAGGGGACACGTTGACAAAGAATCACAGGAGAAACCAAAGAGGTGGGTAAAGAACCAGGAGAGGAGACTCCAGAAAAAGGTCAAGACCCGGGGGCAGACACCAAAGAAGAGATGAGAACGGCAAACATTGCTCTTTCGCAGCCTAAAGTCCTCCAAGTAAATGTCAGAAGCCAGCAAATGCCTTGGGGAGCTGATAGGGAGCCCTGACCCATCTCCAGAGATTAATCAAAAACCTGTGCAAGTAGAACAAGGGGCTGGAAGACTGATCTAGCTACACGGGATGCCAAGGTGACGCTGAGGGACTCACTCACAGATGCTGAAGGCTCAGCAGGGTCTGCACGGGGTCTAAGGAACCCAGCACTGAAACGCCATTCCGCGTTGCTCAGGCACTCCGTGGACATGCGCTGGACTCCCACATCCTGAAGATGTTCGTTATCCCAGGAAGACGTTTATCAGAAGAGAATTTCAAAAAGAATAAGTAACTTTTCAGTAAATGTCTTCAATTAGACTCCTGCTTTAAGGCAACTGTTGAACTTTCCCCAGTGTTGGAGGATACATGTGACGACATGAAATGTTCCTATTTTTCAAAGTTTTCACTACCAAGTCGTTTCATGTGCGGTTTGGCACTGTTAAGTTCACTCCTCAAAGTAATAGGTCCTATATTATGGCAGAAGATTCTTCGTCCTAAATTTCTGATTCAAAACTGGGAAAAACTTCCAAGTCATAAAAGATAAAGATATTTACCAGTATTCCAGTTAAATGTATAACATAAATGGAAAAATACGAGTAATCATTGAGTCACCTTTTCCAGATGTCTCAGAGAAAACCTCTGACTACAATGCCCATGGAAAATCATCTTAATTCCAGAAAGCGGGGGCTGAGGGGACACAGTGTTGAGAGGGTGAGTCATGGAAAATCACGAGTGGTGGCCGGCGCCCCGCCTCAGTTCCCCTCAGGAGAGGGCGCCCGCCGGTGCGGACGGCGAAGCGGCGTCCAGAACAAGGGCGGTTGGGCTCTGCGGCCCCAGCGTCCGCCCAGCGCGTCCTCCCGCGCTGCCTCGTCCCAGTTCGGCCCAGGTTCCCAGTCTCCAGTCGCGGGCGTCGTGAGGCTCGCGTGAATCCCCAACGCCCGCGCCGCGGTATGGCCGCCAGGTCGCTCTGAGAGGTTCCAGGCAGCCCAAGGGCGGGATCCTCACGGCGCAGGCGCGCGCCTCCGCCACAGCCAGGAGAGGAGCGCGGCGGCAGCAGCTACAGGTAACCGTTAGTGGAGGAGCCCCGCCCCCACGGCCGCCAGGCCCGCTCCTCCCACTCCGCCTCCTAAGCTGGAAGCTGAGAGAACCCAGGGCTCGGGCTCCATCTCCCAAGCCTGTCGCAGAACGTGGCAAGTCCGCTTTCGGGAAGACTAGATCCTCACACCGACATGCCTGTGGCCCAGGTGGGATTTCCAGGACAGGCCACTCACCAAGAAGCCAGACGACCAACTTCCCTTCTCTTCGGGCTAAGGTAGACACAATTGCTTCACTTTTAGTTTTAGTGACATTAAACATGCTCTGGGAAAGGGCTTCCCGTTTCTGAGTCAGCAGTCCCGCCTTTTCCACTTCTAAAGAGGGAATCGTGAATTCCCTAGAGTGCTGTAAAAGTTAGGCCTAAATAAGATGATAGAACTTCGCATCAGACTTTTGAATCTTTTGGTAACTTTAGTAAGGGTTTGCTGCTTGGTGGCGAGAATTCCTGGCTCATTCAAAGAAAGCTTTACCAAAGGAGAATTAACCTGGAGAAGGGTTAAACACCGTCACACATCAAGTGACAAATCCGAGGGGACTTTACATTAGTAAAGAAAAACGAGGCGCAGGCCCTTAGATGCTGTAAAGGTGACAAACCGTCAGCTGTACTGGCCACTCCAGGAAATATCAAAAACATGTGGCTTCTGATTTCTTCTTACATTTTTGACCACCTTTGATTAAATATCCTGGCTTGCAACATTTTAGGTAATATCTGGAAATGGAGTGAGCTGGCTATAGCAGTATGTGCATTAAAATATATCTAATGCATGCTAATAGTGTATTTTTATGAAATTTCAGCCCTAGAGACAATAGTAGGAAACTTAAGATGTAAACTCGTGAAGCATTCCATCATAAAACTGATTAAGTTGAAAAAGGGAAGTAGTATAAAAAGGAAATAGAGTAATAAGTGCCAAAATACACTCTGATGCACTTGTCCCTTTTTCGTGTGTCTTCCAACTATTGTTATTTTTCCAGTCAGTTAATTTCTCCTCTGCTTTTCCTTCATTTTCCTAAGTTGTTCTTCACTTTCTACCCCTCTCCCTGCTCCACTTTTCCCCTGTGGCAGTGAATCAACTGTGTGATCCCAGCTCTCACAGCTGCTGCTGGGAGGGTGTGGATAAGTTACAGCTCCTAGCTCACTTTCTCACTGTACAGCGGGACTGACCACACCCTCCTCCCAGGGTTATTATGGGGTGGAGCAAGTCACCAATCTGGGAAGTGCTCATTTATTCTTATCAGAAGATGGGAAGCCCCTACTATGAACTGGACACTGGTATCAGGACCCAGGAGCACAGTTCCTGTGCTCAGGGATTGCATAACCTCATGGGAACAGCAACCAGAGAAGAATTTCATGAGGATGAGTTCCATGCACTATCCTCACTCCGGGCCTCTTCTTTTTCCTTTTCTTTTACTTTGCATCTTAATGCTCAAAGCTAATGCCAAAAAAAAAAAAAAAAAGTGAAGTAGGGAAAGGGTTTCTAGAGCATCTCAAACTTCTTTATGTCAACTTTACCTCCCTCTCCTGATGGACTCTGCTCTTTTCTCCACCCCATCCTCAATTCTGTGGAGTTCAGCAAATGTTAACTGCACAGTCCTTGTGCAGGCACTCTACCGGGTGCTGAGAAATCAAATAACCTAATTTCAGTGTAAAAGTGAGAGTACTGAAATCAAGGGAACCTATCTAAGTCATCTGTTGCTGCCAAAAGCCCAGATACTGTTTTCCATCAACAGGACTTTCCCGGGCCTCCACCATGGCTTTATGCCCCAGCAGGACAGAGCTGCCCTCCTGGTTGATTTTACATTTCTAATGAAATCTGTTTTTTTTCTTTTTCTTTTATGTCCCCATTATTTATATTCCCAAGCATACTGCAGAGCTCAGCTCCCAGCCAGATTGAGCTGCCATGTGACCTTGTTGGTTCTTCTTCCCGCCTGGGCCCTGCTCTAGTTCCTCAACATCCTTCCTGCTCATGGAAAAGGTCTCACCCAAAGTGGCCCTGGGATTCCCTCTTGCACATTTTCGTGTGTGTGTGTGTGTGTGTGTTTACAAACTGAACTGATTTACTCCCACCTCTTTAGATCTCCTTTAGAAAGGAGAACGCAGACTGGGTGGCTGTGAGCAGCAATTACCATTCTCCATGGCCTTGGTAGGGCCCCTTGAGCCCTGCTTGCTTCTTCACACAGGAAGGAAACTAAAGAACTTTCTTGACAACCAGTACCTCTCCCAAGCATATTTGTGTTTTCACACAGGATTTTAATTTCTACCACTGTGGGAGGCACTAGGTTCATAATTTGAAAAAGTTAGTCCCCGTGCTGTCTCTGAAATTATATCCACAAAGACAGTCGTTCATTTTAAGTGGCAATTAAGATGGTGAGAAATTCAAAACCATGCCTAACAATAAGAACAGTAATAATAGCAACACCATCTATTAACTGAGTTTTAGTAGGGATCAAACATTCTTATTTAATCTTCAGTGCTTTATAAACACTATCTTACTGAATCTTCACTGACATCCTATGAGACATTTGTATTCCTATTTCACAGGGGTCTGTTGGGTGCACAGGAATCATGTCTTTCAAAGACCACCAGGTGGAGAGGCCATGGCAAGGCCCCTGGACTCAAGTGGAAAGAAGAGGAGCAAACGTGTTCCCAAGCCCATGTTGAGACATCACCATTCCAAGGACACCCAGAAATAGCTGGGGAGGAATTTAAGGAGACAAGAGAAACATGGGGTTGAGATCTTGTCAAGCAAGTGAAGATTTGGAGACATGGAGCTATGCATGTGAATATGCATTGACATTCATGAACTTACTTACACTAATGAACTCCTGAAACCTAGGAGGGGTTGAAAAATTGAAAATCCTCTTGCTCCTTCTCTACACCCAGGCTCCACTTCTAAGTTATTACCAACTGCTTATGGCTGAAAGCCCACATCCACTTCCATCTTTCATCAGCCATGTCAGGCTCTAGTTTTCTTGGCCCTCCAACTGCCCACCTACTCTTCCCTGCCTGGGTTGGTTTTCAGACACTTGGACTTCACTGATCTGCCTGTTCTTCTGAACACTGGACTCTGCTCTCCCATCTGAATTTTTGATACTCCTATTGTGTTATCATCAAAAACATATATTTGGGCCAGATGCAGTGGCTCGCACCTATAATTGTAACAGTTTGGGAAGCTGATGCGGGAGGAATCCCTGATGCCAGGAATGTAAGACCAGCCTGGGACAACAAAGGGAGACCCCATCTCTACAAAAAATGAAAAAAATTACCCAGGTATGAATGCATGCACCTTAGTCCCAGCTACTTGGGAGGCTGAAGCAGGAGGATCACTTGAGCTCTGGCATGACCCTGTCTCAAAAGTTAAGGTCAACATGTTTATCTATTTGGTCTTTGCCCTTGATTCCTGGTAAAAAGGCACCTGACATTCTTGGAATTTCCTGAGTGATAGGAGTTTCTTTCATTATTCATAAAGAGCCCCTTTTGACCTTACCTGAGTTAATGCTAAGAGGTGACTCTAGATGGCCCCTACATCGCTTCTAGATGGGAGCTGGTGGCCAGGGCAACCAACCACATGAATAGAGGACTGAACTCTCAGCCCTACCCCCTGATCTGCAGGAGGGGGACAAGGGCTGAAGATTGAGTCCAATCACCAGTTGCCATCAATCGTGCCTATGTAATGAAGCTTCAGTAAAACCCCTGAAACAATGAGACTGAGCTTCCAGGATGGTGAACACATTGAGGTGCTGGTGTCCCCAGAGAAGGCAGGGAATCTCCATCCCCACCCCACCCCTTACCCTGTACATCTCTTCCATTTGACTGCTCTTAAACTGTATCCTTTAAGATGTATCCTTTAAGATAAACTGTGACTGTAAGTAAAGCGCTTTCCTGAGGAATGAGCCATTCTAGAAAATTCTCAAACCTGGGAACAGGAGTGGTGGAGTTATAGTTTGAAACAAACTACCAACCCTCACATTTTTAGTGAGCTAAGCAGAAGTGTAAATACCCTGAGAGTGAGCTAGGCAGAGTGTAAATAGCCCATTTCTGGCCTGCATCTGAAGTGGAGGTGGTCTTGGGGAACTGAGCCCTTAACCCCTGGGATCAGCGCTAACTCTGGCTAGTGTCAAAACTGGACAGAATTGTTGGACACTGAGCTGGAATAAGAGAATTAGGGGACCGGTTATTGTTGGAATAATAACATAACACCTATAATAATCAGGCTGTTAATATTTATCTTAAATAGATCCAATATTCCGCTGCTGCCAGGTATTGAGGAAATGCATTCACCCTCATGAGAGAGACATAAACCATCACAGAGCATGAGGTAAGCCCCTCCCAAACCCTTCCATCCTGGCTGGAGCCACCATTGTCTTTTGCCAGGATTGTTCTAACAGCCCACAGTGGTGCTTCCCAGTTCTTCCTTTGATCTCCTACAGGGCAACTAGAGGGGCACTGTAAAATAATCGGTTAGATCACGTCACTCCTCAAAGCCCTGCGGTGGGCCCCCATTTCCTCCATGGTGATCTGCTACTCAGCTGCCTCTTCACCTGCGTGTTCTACTTCCCTGACCCTCACTCACTCCCCTCCAGCCATGCCAATCTCTTCCTCATTCTTGGAATGTGCCGGGCAGCTTTTACCTAGGGACTTTGCACATGTTTCTCTGTCTGGAACATTCTTCCCCTAAATAACTTGGGACCAATTCCCTTACCTCCTTTAATCTTTTGCCTAAATTTCACCTACTGCACAATGTCAACCCTGAAAATGCTATTTAAGACAGTGGCATTCTCTAGATTTCTCCTCTTTGGGCAGGGCATTTCTGAAAAAAAGGCAGTAGCCTAGTCAGGGACTTATAGATAAAACCCCCATCTCCTTGGGACAGACACTTGGGGGAAGGGGTGGCTGTGGGCACAGCTTCAGCAGACTTAAACATCCCTGCCTGACAGCGCTGAAGAGAGCAGTGTATCCCAGCACAGCCAGCGCTCAAGCTCTGATAAGGGACAGACTGCCTCCTCAAGTGGGTCCCTGACCCCCATGCATTCTAACTGGGAGACACCTCCCTGTAGGGGCCGACAGACACCTCATACAGGAGAGCTCTGGCTGCCATCTGGCGGGTGCCCCTCTCGGACAAAGCTTCCAGAGGAAGGAACAGGCAGCAATTTTTGCTGTTCTTCAGCCTCCGCTGGAGATACCCAGGCAAACAGGGTCTGCAGTGGACCTCCAGCAAGCTCCAATAGACCTGCAGCCGAGGGGTCTGACTGTTAGAAGGAGAACTAACAAACAGAAAGGAATAGTATCAACATCAACAAAAAGGGCATCCACTCAGAGACCCCATCTGAAGGTTACCAACATCAAAGACCAAAGATAGATAAATCCACTATCTATTTAGATGGGGAGAAACCAGCACAAAAAGGCTGAAAATTCTGAAAACCATAAAACCTCTTTTCCTCCAAAGGATCACAACTCCTTGCCAGCAAGGAAACAAAACTGGATCGAGAATGAGTGATGAATTGACAGAAGTAGGCTTCAGAAGTGGGTAATAACAAACTCCTTCAAGCTAAAGGAGCATGTTCTAACCCAATTCAAGGAACCAAAGAACCTTGAAAAAAGGTTAGATTAATTGCTAACTGGAATAATCAGTTTAGAGAACATAAATGACCTGAAGGAGCTGAAAAACACAGCACAAGACCTTCGTGAAGCAAACACAAGTATCAATAGCCAAATCGATCAAGCAGAAGAAAGGATATCAGAGATTGAAGATGAACTCAATGAAATAAAGCAAGAAGACAAGATTAGAGAAAAAAGAGTGAAAAGAAATATATAAAGCCTCCAAGAAATATGGGACTATGTGAAAAGACCAAATCCATGTTTCACTGGTGTACCTGAAAGTGATGAGGAGCATGGAACCCAGTTGGAAAACACTCTTCAGGATATTACCCAGGAGAACTTCCCCAACTTAGCAAGACAGGCAAACATTCAAATTCAGGAAATACAGAGAACACCACAAAGATACTCCTCAAGAAGAGCAACCCCAAGACACATAATCATTAGATTCACCAAGTTGAAATGAAGGGAAACATGTTAAGAGAAGCCAGAGAGAAAGGTCAAGTTACCCTCAAAGGGAAGCCCATCAGACTAACAACAGATCTCTCTGCAGAAACTCTACAAGCCAAAAGAGAGTAGGGGCCAATATTCAACATTCTTAAAGAAAAGAATTTTCAACCCAGAATTTCATACCCAGCCAAACTAGGCTTCATAAGCGAAGGAGAAGTAAAATCCTTTACAGACAAGCAAATGCTGAGAGATTTTGTCACCACCAGGCCTGCCTTACAAGAGATCCTGAGGGAAGCACTAAACATGGAAAGGAACAACTGGTACCAGCCACTGGAAAAATATACCAAATTGTAAAGAACATTGACACTATGAAAAAATTGCATCAACTAACGGGCAAAATAGCCAGCTAGCATCATAATGACAGGATCAAATTCACACATAACAATATTAACCTTAAATGTAAATGGGCTAAATGCCGCAATTCAAAGACACAGACTGGCAAATTGGATAAAGAGTCAAGACCCATCAGTGTGCTGTGTTCAGTAGATCCATCTCACATGCAAAGACACACATGGGCTCAAAATAAAGGGAGGAATATTTACCAAGCAAATGGAAAGCAAAAACAAAACAAACAAACAAGCAAACAAACAAAAAACAGGAGTTGAAATCCTAATCTCTGATAAAACATACTTTAAACCAACAAAGAGCAAAAGAGACAAAGAAGAACATCACATAATGGTAAAGTGATCAATGCAACAAGAAGAGCTAACTATCCTAAATATATATGCACCCAATATAGGAGCACCCAGATTCATAAAGCAAGTTCTTAGAGACCTACAAAGAGACTTGGGACTCCCACACAATAATAATGGGAGACTTTAATACCCCACTGTCAATATTAGACAGATCAATGAGACAGAAAATTAACAAGGATATCCAGAACTTGATCTCAGCTCTGGACCAAGCAGACCTAATAGACATCTACAGAACTCTCCAACCCAAATCAACAGAATATACATTCTTCTCAGTACCACATAGCACTGATTCTAAATTCAACCACATAATTGGAAGTAAAACACTCCTCAGCAAATGGAAAAGAAGGAAAATTGTAACAGTCTCTCAGACCACAGTGCAATCAAATTAGAACTCAATATTAAGAAACTCACTCAAAACCACACAACTACATGGAAACTGAACAACCTGTGCCTGAATGATTACTGGGTAAATAATGAAACGAAGGCAGATGATCTTTGAGAACAAAGACACAATGTACCAGAATCTCTGGGACACATTTAAAGCAGTGTGTAGAGGAAAATTATAGCACTAAATGCCCACAAGAGAAAGCAGGAAAGATCTAAAATCAACACCCTAACATCACAATTAAAAGGACTAGAGAAGCAAGAGCAAACACATTCAAAAGCTAGCAGAAGACAAGAAATAACTAAGATCAGAGCAGAACTGAAGGAGATAGAGACATGAAAAAACCTTCAAAAAATCAATGAATCCAGGATCTGGGTTTTTTAAAACATCGACAACATAGATAGACCACTAGCCAGACTAATAAGAAAAAAGAGAAGAATCAAATACACATGATAAAAAATGATAAAACTGTTATCACCACAAAGGTTTGAGTCCAAACCTTTAAAGCAATATAATTTTATTAGGAGTTATACTATTTCATAGATTTACTATAAAGTAAGTACATTACTTTATAATCAAACATTAATTTGAAAATGTATTAAATCCCTGATGACCTAGAAAACATTTTGTTAAATGTTTTTGTAAACACTTCTCTTTTGTTAAGTGTCACAAAAAATTATTTGTTAATTTAATTGCTGTGACATATTATTACCATTTAACTAATCTCTAGAGTATTGGCGGAGAATCTTTACCAACCAGGAATTAGAGAAATGTTGGCCTCTCGAAGTTAAAATCACCAGTTCCAAAAGGCTAGAGATATGACCTATACATGTGCTTTGTAAAGAATGGCATTGTTTATAAAGAATCCATAAGCAGATTTATTCATGTGCTTTAGGGTAAGTAGGAGCCTCACTCATAAGTAACTCCTTAAATTTTACTCACTGAAGAGAGAAGCAGGATTATGGATTTTGTCAATTCTCTTTAAATTGTGCAAGACTGATATTCTTGCTAAGGAAGGTAAACTTGACAGTTCACTTCTTAGGTGTTTTTGGGTGTCTTAATTCATGTATGTCTTTAAACTTGCTAGTGAATACTTCACTGAAATAGCTGTGATATGTCTAAAGATTATTTGTTTGCTTTATTATTTCTGCCTCTTATGATAAATATATACTAATAAAATAAACTAAATGTTCTGATTGTAGTGTTTATCTTAGATTATTTGTTTTTCAAAATGGTATCTGATAATCTGTTTGTGACATATTTATTGTCTGGGGCAAAGGATTGAAACTATAATGACAGAATAGTCCCCTAAGAACCAAAATACTACAGGTACAAAGAATGAAATATTCTTGAAATTGATTTTATAAGATAACTCTGATATCTACATGCATTTCATGGAAATGGTAATGTAAGCAAATATACTGTTTAAAATATTGAAAGAAAAGTGAAATATCTTATATCGTTATTACTATGAACAATTTGTGATATTTCCTTCATATCCAGATATTGTGATATTTGCTGCATATCTAGAGATTCTGTATGCTGATGGTCTCAAATGCTATTATATTTCATCTGATTAGCAATCAACAAAAAATTAGGAATGCCACTGATACTATTATTGATCACATTTTAAAGTCATAAAGCAAATTCTAAATATCACTGAGATAATAAAGAGTAGGGAAATATTCTGAAGTTTCTCTTAGGCTCAAGAGCATGCCTTTTGCATTTAATCACCATGATACATTCTTGTGTATGAAGAAGATGTAAGGTAACTGTAGCATAGAGAAACTTGAGATTCTGTGTAGACAGAGAAGAAAAAAATCATGCAATCTGAAGAGAGGAAGCATGGAAATGAGACCTCTAATGACCAGTAGCTAATGTGTCGTTTTGATAAAGCAAATTAAAAATAACAGTAAAGGCTGGGCATGGTGGCTCATGCCTGTAATCCCATCACTTTGGGAGGCTGAGGCGGGTGGATCACTGAGGTCAGGAGTTCGAGATCATCCTGGCTAACACAGTGAAACCCCATCTCTACTAAAAATACAAAAAATTAGCCAGGCATGGTGGCATGCGCCAGTAGTCCCAGCTACTCAGGAGGCTGAGGCAGGAGAAGCGCTTGAACCCGGGAGGCAAAGGTTGCAGTGAGCTGAGATCACACCACTGCACTCCAGCTTGGGCAACAAAGTGAAACTCCATCTCAAAAAAAATATTGTCTTCATTAGTAAAATGAGGATAATTTTTAAAATCACAAATAACTAAAGGGCGTACTAGAGAAAAACAATAGTATAAACATTTTTGCAAAACTGTTATTGAAAAATCATATGAGTATAACTAAGGCAAGTAATTCATATTTTTAATGTCATTATAATACCAATAAAATTGTGGCATAAACTAAAATAGTTTGGTAATGATACATGAATTATAAATAAATAACAATAGAATATGAAACTTTTTATATTTTAAAATTGTAACTAATGATTCTAGGTTTTTATAGAAAATTAAGTAGTACAGACATTAAAACTAACAAATCAATCTTACTACTAAAATGGTAATTAAAATCACAAGAAGATTTTCTTAAAATTGAAATGCTGCAACACAAGCCAAAAAAAATGCTGAGGTTAGAATATTTGATTTTGTTTTGTTTTGTTCTGTTTTTTAAACAGGGTCTTGCTCTGTTGCCTAGGCTAAGTGCAGTGGCATGATCACAATCACAGCTCACTGCAAACTTAACCTCCTGGGCTCAAGGGATCCTCCCACTTCAGCTTCCTAAGTAGTTGGGACTACAGGTATTGCCCAGGCTGATCTCAAACTTTGGAGGTCAAACAGTCCTCCAGTCTTGGCCTCCCAAAGTGCTGGGATTACAGGTGTGAGCCGCTGCGATGGGCCGAATATTTAATTTTTAGTTAGGAGATTTCAACAAAATGTAGGAAACCATATGGGGAAGAGGTCCAGATCGATGTTTAGCCTTCTGTTAAATATTGGAATACATTTCTGGCAAAAAGAAGAATCTTTTTTAGAGGAGCAGTGTCAGGTGGAAAGTTTTTCTTAATTGTAATGTGCAGAAGAAGAGGTGAATGAGAGCACAGCAAAGGAAATAGTCAGACACTGCCGACAGAAAAACAAAATACATTCAGTTGTGAATATTATCACAGCTTTTATAGATGATGCTGCAAAGAAAGAGAGGAAGGCTCATATACATGTCTTAGAGAGCAGCTGAAATTTAAAAATGGTGAGGCATAATCTGTCTGGTCCCAATGGAATTAAAACTATTGTCAGAGGAAGCTCAGAGTCATTCATTAACTTATCATGTAAACCTCTTTTGGAGCAGCCTGTCAGAAGAGGGGACACAGCCAATGTCATTCTAGGCCCCTGAATAGAGAGAATGAATAATGGCTGGAGAATATTCAAACCATTGGGCTGATGAAGAATCTGTCGTGAAGCATGTCTGGTACAACAGTTTAATATTGAAGGAAATGAGAAAATAATCTCTGGATGTGTCCTGGCAGAATTTTTAAAACATTTAAAAATAAATACTGTAAATGTGCTCAATAGCTGAAAGGTTGTAAGACCTTGATCTCATTTTAATTCCTTTATGTGCTTAGCTCTCGGATCCTATGATTTTAAAAGCTAATGTGGCATATCAGCAGAGTTGGAAAGAATGAAAGAAAATATGCTTGGAGAGAAAATATGCTTAATCATTGATTTGAAAATGCTTGCATTTTGTCCATTTCCTCTACCTTGACTTCCTGGTTAGAAGTCATACATTGATGCCAATTGCTGCCCTCATTTGTAGATGTTACCTATTTTCTGCATTTGTGGGAGTTTTTGTGTCATTTTATAATTTTGGTTTTTATTCCAGATTATTGTAACATATTATCAGGTATGGACAACATCACCATCTTCACAGAATTCCTCCTCATGGATATCTCAAGCTCCCGGGAGCTCCAAATTTTGCAGGGTCTGCTGTTCTTAGTCATATATCTGGGAGCCTTGACTGGGAATCTTATAACGGGTACGGTCATTGTGATAGACCCACATCTTCATTCTCCAATGTACTTTTTTATAAGCAATTTGTCCCTCATAGACCTTTGCTGCATCTCAATAAGTGTTCCCAAGTTGATTGTGAATTCCCTGACAGGTAGTAAGTCAATCTCACTCAACGAATGTGCAGCTCAGATTTTTTTTTATATTTTCTTTGCATCTATAGAGCTTGCTTTCCTTGTGGTGATGTCCTATGACCGCTATGTTGCCATTTGCCACCCTCTGCATTACGGGTTGACCATCACCCCACGTCTGTGCACACAGGCAGCAGGTGCTTCTTGGGCCTGTGGTCTGGTCTATTCAGCGATCCACACAGGCAACATGTTCAGGCTTCCCTTTACAAAGTCCAATGTGATTCATCAATATTTCTGTGATGTACCTCAAGTTATGAGAATCTCATCCTCAGATGTTCAGTTTTCTGAATCTGTGATCCTTGCTGTAAGTACTTGCATTGTTTTAGTATGTTTCGCCTTCTTGTCTATGTCATACATTAATATATTTTCAACTGTGCTTAGTATGCATTCTGTGGAAGCTCGCAATAAAGCCTTATCCACCTGTACTCCACACTTGGTCATTTTTGTTTTGTTTGTAGTATCTGGATTAATTGCTGTTTTAGGGCCCGTTGCAAATAAAGCATCCCTTAAAAATCTTCTGACAGCCATGTTTTATATCATGGTGCCCCCATTCATAAATCCCATTATCTACAGTCTACGGAACAGGGGGATTAACTCTGCTTTAGGCAAAATATTCCACAGATATTTTAAGTTCCCAAGCAGAAAATTTTCTTGATTAAAAAAATGCTGAAAACAAAACAATTTTAGATAGTTGTACATTATATTTAACATATGTTCTTAAATTTCAATTCATCACAGTCAATTATCAATTGATACTTTTTAATGTATTTTGTTGTCTAACTATGTCTTTCTATGTCCACCTGTGTGATAGTGAGCTACAAATCTGTCTTAGCTTTCCTTGCTCAAAACTGTATTTATATAATTCATATATGCCTCTTGAAGACACAACAATCCTGATTCAGACTTCCAGAATGTTTTAGAAAATGGTTAGAATGATTTTGAGCTAAGCACAAAGGACATCATATGTCCATGCCTTATGCATCAGTGCCTTAACAGGAGCCTGTGCACCTGGGAGGACTTCAGCATATTGGATACTGTCAATCCGGAGTAGAGTACCATCAGAGAAGCCTACTGTTTAAGTTGTATTCTTTGCATTCACTTGTAAACAAACTGGACAAATTAATAAAATAGTTAACTCTTAAAGAGTTAACTAAGGGATTGAGGACACCTTGAGGAAATAGCATTGAGACCCCTGCTGAACTCTTGAAAACAGCTTTTCCATGTTTCTTGGAATCCTTGAAGATTTCTTTCACTCTGAAAATGGTGGACTAAAAACTACTGGACTCCAACACAAAATATAGTTTGATGCTTTTGTTCTCTCACTGAAGTCTAGATGCAAAAATGTAGGTCATGTTTGATTCATCCAAAATTTCTGCATGATGAATAAAACAGAATGAGTGGTTGCAGACTGAAGTGAGACACAACAATAACTAGGATCAGATTTCACCCAAAAAAAACCCTGATATTTCTTTTTTTTTTTTTTTTTTTTTTTTTTTTTTTTTTTTTTTTTTGTGAGACGAAGTCTTGCTCTGTCACCCAGGCTGGAGTGCAGTGATGCGATCTCTACTTACTGCAAACTCCGCCTCGCCGGTTCACGCCATTCTCCTGCCTCAGCCTCCTGAGTAGCTGGGACTACAGGCACCGCCACCACGCCTGGCTAATTTTTGTATTTTTAGTAGAGACGGGGTTTCACCGTGTTAGCCAGGATGGTCTCGATCTCCTGACCTCGTGATTCTCCCGTCCCAGCCTCCCAAAATGCTGGGATTACAGGCGTGAGACACTGCACCCGGCAGAAGCATAATTATTCTCCACACCATAGTATGAAGATACTTTGTTCACCGGAAAGTGTGAGTTGCATATTTATTCATGGAGGACACATACGTCTTTCTTCCAGAGGCTCACTACCACAGCTCTGAGGCCCTATCATTTTCTTCAGTTTTGTTAATCCATAAGAAGTAAATAAATGCATCATTTAAAAATATGGCAAAAATAATGTGAAATTTGCAAACTCCTTTTTATCTACTATTATCCTCTTTTCTTTATAGGTAAACCACTATATAGTTGCTGGGCCTTTGAGTCAATGAAAGTGTGTATCAATACACATGTTCTGAATCTATTTATCTATCTATATTATAATATGTATCTTTATACAATGTGTATATAATATATTTATGTAATGTGGGTACGATATAAATTAAACATGTAGAACAATATTTATATCATGCACACATTTTTATAAGAAAGCATGCTTACATTTGCCTTTTATTGCTGTATTTCTCAACTTGTCCAAATAGATATTAATGAAGAAAGAAACATGCTCTAAAAACATGGTTTCTAAGGATGCTCTTTTAAAAATTTATTTTTATTTTTTCAGATTTAGGGGATACAGGTGTCATTTTGTTACATGGACATATTGTATAGTGATAAAGGCTGGGCTTTGGGTATAACCATTACCCAGAGAGTGTACATTGTACCCCTTAAGCAACTTCTCATTTCTCATCTCCTCTTATCCTCCTACCCTTCTGAGTCTCCAATGTCTGTTACTCCACTCTCTAAGCCATGTGTACAAAATCAAAAACAAGTGCATTACTTCCAAGATATAATGGGGTATAAGCATTGAGTAAACATCTCTTAGCTCCCACTTATAAGTAAGAACATGCAGTGTGTGAGGCCATTCTTGCATTGCTATAAAGAAATACCTGAGGCTGAGTAATGTATAAGAAAAAAGGTTTAATTAGGTCATAGATTTCTGCAAGACCTAGATGAAGCAAAGCAGCATCTGCTTCTGGGGAAGCCTTAGGAAGCTTCCAATTATGGCAGAAGGCAAAGGGGAGGCAGGCACATCACATGGAAAAGCAGGAGAAACAGAGCAAGTGAGAACAGGTGGCAGATGTCATATGCTTACAAACAACCAGACCTTACGAAATCAGAACTAGAATTCACTCATCATGAAGGGAATGACTGAAGCCATTCATGAGGGATCCACCACCTTGATCCAGGCCACACCTTCAATGCTGGGGATTAGAATTCAACATGAGATTTTGCTAGGACATCCAAATCATATTCTCTCACCCCTGAACTCCCAAATACTATGTCCTTCTCATACTGCAAAATACAATTATACCTTCCCAATAGCCACCACAAAGTCTGAACTTATTCCAGCATTAACTCAAAAATCCAAAAAGTCTCATCTGAGATAAGACAAATTCCTTCCACCCATGAGTCTGTAAAATCAAAAACAAGTGCATTACTTCCAAGATATAATGGAGTATAAGCATTGAGTAAACATTTCCATTCCAAAAGGAAGAAATTAGCCAAAAAAGGGGTCTGTTGACCTCATGCAAGTCCAAAACCCAAGAGGGCAGTCATTAAATCTTAAAACTTTAAAATAATCTTCTTTGACTCTATGTCCCACATCCAGGGAACATTGGTGTGAGGAGTGGGTTCCCAAGGCATTGGCCAGCTCTGCCCTGTGGCTTTGCAGAGTTTAGCACCTACAGCTACTCTCAGGGCCTGGGGTTGAGTGTCTGCAGCCTTTCCAGGTGCAGGATGGCAGCTGCCAGTAGATCTACCATTCTCAGGTCTGGAGGGTGGCAGCTGCCAGTAGATCTACCATTCTTAGGTCTGGAGGATGGTAGCTCATTTCTCACAGCTCCACTAGACAGTGCCACAGTGGCAACTCAGTGTGGAGGTCTTAATTCCATATTTACATTCCACACTGTCCTAGGATAGGTTCTCTGTGGGGGCTTTGCCCTGTAGAAAGCTTCTGCCTGGGCACCCAGGCTTTCTCAGACATCCTCTGAAATCTAGGCAGTAGCCAAACTTCCTTAACTCTTGCACTCTGGACATTCACAGGTATACCATAAGCCTTGCATTCTCCAAAATGGCAGCTCAAGCTGTACCTGGGTTCCTTTGAGCACTGGCTGGAGTTGGAGCAGCCAGGATGTGGGAACTAATGTCTTGAGGCTGTACAAGAAAGCAAGGCCCTGGATCTGTCTCATGAAACCATTCTTCCCTCCCAGCCTTCCAGTCCTGTGATAGAAGGGCTACCACAAAGGTCTTTGAAAAGTCTTCCAAGCCTTCTTCCCCATTATATTGGCTATCAGCTCTTGGCTCCCTTTTAGTTATGTAAATTTTTCTATCCAGTGGTATCTCCACAGTCTGCTTAAATTCTTCTCCCCCGACAAAAAAAAGAAAAAGAAAAAGCCTTTTCTTTCTCTGCCGCATGGCTAGAGTGCAAGTTTTTCAAATTTTTATGCTCTTCTTTTCTATAAAGAACTTACAGATTCTGTTCATGTCCTTCCCCTATGTTTTAATGGGGTTGTTTGTCTTTTACTTGTTGATTTGTTTAAGTCCCTTATAGATTCTGGACATTAAGGCTTTGTTGAATGCAAAGTTTGCAAATATGTTTTCACATTCTGTAGAGTATCTGTTTATTATGTTGGTAGCTTCTTTTGCTTTACAGAAGTTCTTTAGTTTAATTAGACCCCCTTTGTCAATTTTGGATTTGTTGCAATTGCTTTTATTGTCTTCATCATGAAATCTTAGCCCATATCTATGTACAGAACTGTATTGCCTAGGTTGTTTTCCAGGGCTTTCATAGTTTTAGGTTTTACATTTTAGTCTTTAATCCATCTTGAGTTTATTTTTGTATGTGGTGAAAGGGTTGGGTCCAGTTTCAATCATCTGCATATGAGGTATGTTATCCCCGCAGCATTTATTGAATAGGCGGTCTTTTCCCTATTATTTGTTTTGTCAGCATTTTCAAATATCTGATGGTTGTAGGTGTATGGCTTTATCTTTGAGTTCTCTAACCTGTTTCATTGGTCTACATGTCTGTTTTTGTACCAGTACCATTCTGTTTTGGTTACTGTAGCCTTGAAGTGTAGCTTGAAGTCAGGTAGTGTGATGCCTCTGATTTTGTTCTTTTTACTTAACTTTGCTTTGGCTATTCAGGTTCTTTTTTTAGTTCCATATAAATTTTAGAATAGTTTCTTCTGATTCTATGAGGAATGTTATTGGTGATTTGATAGAAAGAGCATTGAATCTGTAATATTTGGTGGGGAGGGGCAGTATAGCTATTTTAACATATTTATTCTTCCTATCCATGATTATGGGATATTTTTTCATTTGTTAGTTTCAGCTCTGATTTCTTTCAGCAGTGTTTTACAGTTCTCGTTGTAGAGATCTTTCCTCTCCCAGGTTAGAAGTATAACTAGGGTATTTTATTCTTTTTGTGCCTTGGCTCTCAGCTTGGATGTTACTGGCTAGAAATGTTACTGAATTTTTACATTGATTTTGTATTCTGAAACTTTACTGAAGTTGCTTATCAGATCTAGGAGCCTTTGGGTAGAGACTATGGGATTTTCAAGGTATAGAATTATATCATCTGTGAAGAGATATATTTTCACTTCCCTTCTTATTTAGATGCCTTTCATGTCTTTCTTCTGCCTGATTGCTCTAACTAGGACTTCCAGAACTATGTTGAGTAGGAGTGGTGAGATGGGAATCCTTGTCTTGTTCCAGTTCTCAAGGGGAATGGTTCCAGCTTTTGCCCATTTAGTATAAAATTGGTAGTGGGTTTGCCATGGATGACTCATTATTTTGAGGTATGTTCCTTTTATGCCTAGTTTCTTGAAGGTTTTTAACATAAGGAAATGTTGGATTTTAGTGAAAGCCTTTTTTGCTTCTAGTGAGAGAAGCATACAGTTTTTGTTTTGGGTTCTGTTTATGTGAAGAATCACATTTTTTTATTTGCATATGTTGAACTAACCTTGCATCCCAGGGATAAAGCCTACTTGATTGTGGTGTATGAAATTGTTGATGTGCTGCTGGATTCAATTTGCTAGTATTTTGTTGAGAATTTTTGTGTCTTTTTTCATAAGGAATGTTGCTCTCTAGTTGTGTGTGTGTATGTGTGTTTCTTTGCCAGATTTGGTATCAGGTTGATGCTGGCTTCATAGAATGAGTTAGGAAAATGACCTTCCTCCTTAATGTTTTGGAATACTTTCAGGAGTACTAGTATCAGCTTTTCTGTATACATCTGGTAGAATTTGGTTGTGAGTCCATCTAATCCAGGGCTTTTTCTTGTTGGGTTTTTTTTTTAATTATGAATTCAATTTTGGAATCATTATTGGTCTATTCAGGGTTTCAATATTTTCCTTTTTCAATTTTGCAAGGTTGTATATTTTTAGGAATTTATCCATTTCCTCTAGGTAACCTATTTTGTGTGCATAGAGGTGTTTGATTACACTGAGGGTTTTTGTATTTCTGTAGAGGTCAATGGTAATGTCCACTTAGTCGTTTCTGATTGTTTATTTAACTTTCTCTCCTTTTTTCTTCATTAGCCTAGCTATCAGTCTATCAATGTTACTTATTCTTTCAAAGAACCAACATTTGGTTTGGTTGATCTTTCATATGGTTTTTTTGCATCTCTCCTTCATTTCAGCTCTGATT